TTTAAGTTTGCTCGAAAGGGTGAAAAACGCGCGGAGTTCTAAATATTTCAAACCACTCTAAAAACTGAAAAATTGCTAAAAATGACATTTTATCTCAGAATGGTAGAGATTTCTAAAATTTTAAATACCCTGAGATTGAATGTTTAACTTTTTTTATTACTGTAAACGTTATTGGTATTTTCGTTTTTGTAACAATAAAGAAATTCGAAACTAGCTACAGTCACTGACACGTTTTATCCGTATACGGCTTCTTAATTCCCTTTTCCGCTACGATTGCACTTTTCCACTTTTCCTCGAATCCGCAAACAACGAGGGGAGGAAGAGAGGGGTGCATATACACGGAAGAACCGTAAGGGGGACTTTCGCGCGGCAGTTGCGCAAGCCGCGAAACAATTAGATGCAAATCCCTGCAATGGACTTTCTAAATTCACGTATGAATTAGTCCGAGGGCCTCGATTAAACCGCAGGTTGCGCGTTCTCCGGTTGGATGTTTACCTACGTAACCACCTATCTACCGATTATCTACGTTCTACTTTGCTGTTTGCGCGAGACAATGAAGCAACTAACACAAAGAATTCACAAATATACACAGGGTGTCTCGCTTACGAGACGAGAAATTAACTGGTTAACCCTTTCGTGGCCAGTGAGACGCACATGTCTCACTCGAGTCCTCGAACAAAAATTCATCACAGTTTAATGTCCATTACAGACGCGATGATTGGTAGATAAATATCAAATTCTTAAAAAAAAAAAAAAAAAAAAAAAACGAAAATTCGGTCACGAAAGGGTTAAAGTGGAAAATAATATTAATTTCGTACTTCAACGAAGTGACTCAATTCGCGTTGACAGTAACTAGGGGATATTAACGTTAACGACTATCAAACATCAGCGATGACACACAATTTTTCATGAAAATAACAAAATATTTAAAATTTCGCAAAAATTTTCACAAAATCGCCTTTACTCTCGTCAAATTAACAGACTGGACCAAAAATAAGTAGATAAAAAATAAAAACTGACGTAAAAGGGGAAGAAGACGAAAAAAGGAGAGGGAGAGAAAAGGAGGAGATCGAATGCGCAAGGGAGCGAGCGAGACGGGCGAAGTGGGCTGCAAGTGGCACACAAACCGACGTGTCGCATGTGCCTCTGCAGTGGCGGTGGTCGTAGCGCGCTGCGTCTGATCGCGACGCCTGAAAATTACGCTCGGCGAGAAAAGAAGGCGGTGGCGGCGGCGTGCGTCGACTTCAGTTACGCAACGCTCGCGCGACGCAACGAAACTCGATCATCTTTGCCGCATAATAACGGCCGCGACGTGGAAAAAACGAAGAAGAGAAGAGAAGAAGAGGTAGGATGCAGGCAGGCAAAGAGAGAAAGAGGGATCGTTAAAGGAGACAAATGGCGGTGACGCGGCACGATTCAAGAGACGCCGGAGGAGCTGGAAACCGTAGCTCGCCGCGCGAGGTCACCGAAGAAATAATCGCTAGCGACGCGTGACCCCGGGAGGATTAGTCGATCGAGCTGGATGAAATATCGCGATGGAAAGAAGCTGAATCACGGGGCTCGATCTATCGCTTCCGGGGATACGCGGACCCTGCAGCAAGCACGAAAAACGTTTCTCTATTCAATTCTCCACCTGCCCGTCGCTCGAATCATGCTGGACGAAAATGGACGGGTAACAATTGCTACGATATCGATGAATAATCGTGCCGGTTGACTATGAAAGAGGTCTACAAGGGAACTTTTTTGGTAACCCGAAAATTTTCACTTTTTTTTTAATTTTGCAAAATTGCAGAGGACGTCGATAGAAGGCAATGTTTTTTTTCACTGTTTGATTCTTAAGAGGGAAAACACCCCTTTAAGGTTAACGTGTGCTTTCTGATTTTCCTGTGTATCTTGAAAATTATAGTAGGTATGAAAAAATTGGTAGAATGAAAATTTAATAATTTTGTATTTAATATGAAATTTAATTTTTTATATACAACATTTTTGGACTTGACAAGATCAACATTTTTTAAAATAAAGGTAATGGAGAATGTTTTATTCAAGTAATAAATTTTTAACACGATATCCGGCAATTTTTTTTTTACTGTTTTATTCTTCAGAGGGAAAACACCCCTTTAAGGTTAACGTGTGCTTTCTGATTTTCCTGTGTATCTTGAAAATTATAGTAGGTATGAAAAAATTGGTAGAATGAAAATTTAATAATTTTGTATTCAACATTTCAAGAATACTTTTGTATTAAATTATTTTTTTTTACTGTTTTATTCTTCAGAGGGAAAACACCCCTTTAAGGTTAATGTGTGCTTTCTGATTTTCCTGTGTATCTTGAAAATTATAGTAGATATGAAAAAATTGGTAGAATGAAAATTTAATAATTTTGTATTCAACATTTCAAGAATACTTTTGTATTAAATATCAAATTTAATTTTTCATATATATATTTGGACCACACAAGATCAAAAATTTCAAAAACAAAGGTAGTGGAGAATGTTTTTTTTATTCAAACAACAAATTCAATTGCACAGTGTTATGGAACATAAAAAACCATAAGATTTTCATTCTAACAATTTTTCGCGTTTCCATTTTCGAAAAATCCTGATAACTGTAAAAACTACAGCTAGAATAAAAACTAATCTGTGTTGCTAACGTAACTGTTTCTATCGCACCTCGACCGTAATCTGTGACACGAGCCAGTCCTCGTCGTCACAACACAAGAGATCAAATTTCCAACATTTTCCTTGAAATTCTTGCATAACCTGCGATACACACAACGATCTCGAACTTTTTACCAACGGTATATTTATCAAACATTTTTTGTTTACACACAAACACGACGTCGACGATTAAAGAGTAACCTTCCGAAATTTTTTTCTTAGACCCGTTAATTAATTCCATCTTCTTCGTCCACCTCTTCTCTCTCTCTCTCTCTGTATACGAAAGTGTGAAAATGATTTCGCGCGAATATTGCTTAATTATATACCGTTGGTACGGAGAGAGACCCCGAGCGAAGGACTCGAGAGAAGCCACTTGTCTCGTTGGATCGATGTTGAGAAACTGACGTTATTAATAAGATGAGATCGATCGAAAGTTGTCGAACTTCTGGCTCGTTCCAGTTTTCGTTGGGCGTACGGTCGAAGTCAAGGCGAGTTACTCGATTTCGTTGCACGGCAACGACGAGTTCGCCGAGGGTAATTATTTTTGAACGTATCTCACCTTGTGCCGCCGAATATTTTTCTTTCAATGGCCGAATGCATACGAGGATAGAGAGAGAGAGAGAGGGGTGGGTGTGCGCGCGAGAGGCAGTGTTTTAAGATGAAACTGTGTCATGAAAAACGTCCAGTTGAAAAACGGCTGGAAAAAAATGTTGCAATTGCTTTCACCGATTTGTATCCGAATTAATAAATAATCGTCCTTATAGAATCGGCGGGACCGGTGGCTTTCGAAGTTCAAAACGATTAGTAACGCGGACGTTCGATGAATGCGGCCATAAATTTCATCCTTACGGTACAATTATTCAATAGATCCGTCGTATGCATGCCAGTAATGCCCTTAGGCGTTCGGTAACTACACTTAACCAATGTAACCTCAAGTGTTCTCTATGCACAGGCATCAAAGGACCTAATTAAATGGATGCCACTTCGCGTAATTTCCTATATTATATAAAGTACAACGTGATACTGTATTGTTACATGCGAAATGTGAAGTTACGTGATTACGACGAGATGGAAATAGTAATATTACGTGCACTATCGCTGAAAAGTTTAATCACATCCCTTAAAATGCGGTAAAACTGAAAGTAACCAGGAGAAATTAACAAAATTTTATCAAGTGAAAAATGTTGGAATTAATAAAATTTTATCAAGTGAAAAAAGTTGGAATTAATAAAATTTTATCAAGTGAAAAAAGTTGGAATTAATAAAATTTTATCAAGTGAAAAAAGTTGGAATTAATAAAATTTTATCAAGTGAAAAAAGTTGGAATTAATAAAATTTTTTCAAGTGAAAAAATCCCAAAAAATAGAAAAGAATTTGAATTTGATAAACTTGGAAATGCAATTTCATCGACTTGGATAAAATGAATTGAAATGAATTTATTTGCAACGCATTTTTGCATCGTGTGATTAAACTTACGAAGGACAGTGTACACGTAACTGGTCGAGTTTTCAATAATTTTGTATATGCCTTCACTTCTGATAAATTATCAACCGAATTCGAAAAAAGTTAGGTCGATCGTTGTTTTAAGTACGCAAGCAGACGTACAGAGACAGAAGTAGAGTTGTAAATTCGTCTGAGTGTGTATAATTCGACTGCAATACGGTTAGCAAGTTTCAAGTGCCGTACTTCTTGAGCCAAAAAGAAACTTAGAACTGTATCGTGACATCACAGTTTACTATAAAAAAGAAATACTCGATAAAAAGATCCAGGCGAATATGTGTGTTTGAAACGATGTTAAATTACTCTCGGTCAATTTGATAGAAATGAAATCCTTAATTAAAAATCCAACGATTCCTTCGTTAATTTTCACAAATATTTTAACCGTAAACCTGACTGAAATTTAAGCAATCTAAAGTAAACACAATCTCTCCAAGGTCTAATTAATTAAACACCAGTACTCTCGGAATAAATTCAATTTATAGAAAATTTCAAGGCACAAAAATACGCAGAATGCACATAATAATCAAAAATATGTAAACGAACCCAAAGTATAGCACTCTAATAGAATATTCAGAGAGTAAAAAGACACTTGCCTGTCTAGCTTCTATTTTTGTAAATTATACATAAAAATTCCACAGTTCGGCAATTACAATATTTCCCTTGAATTTCTCAGATCTAAGTTCTTCATTTAACCATCCATCCGAATTTACGACAGACTTTACGTCTTCTCTAGCACGAACAAGAGACTCGTTGAGGCTGACACTCGGTTAACTATGGCGATCCACCACAGAGAACCCATCGGTCGAGCGTCCAAGCAGTCAGTTCTTGCGCGATCTTTCGACTTACCTCTTGAGATACGGGATTGTTCTTGTTCCGGCTGGTGTTGGATGTATTATTAATGGAGGAGAGCGTTGTGAGGGTTGCAGTGCCGACACCGCCGACCGTCTTTCCGCTGACCTTGGTACCAGCACCGCCGACATCTTTGTGCAACGTTCCAGGACTCTGAAATGAAATATCGGTTTGGGTTAGGACAATGCCTGAAGCGAGCGTTTTTTTATTATTTTCTCTCTCTCTCTCTCTCTTTGGATGATAATGAGGATGCAACCTGCCGCTGTTGAATCTCGAATGAAATACGAGGTCGAGGAAAAATTAATGGGCGTCTCTTGCTGGAGAAAAAGGGTACTTGTTGGCGGAATTCTGAAGTGACTATCTCCGAGAGAATTTCGTAGAATCCGAGTTATTGGGTTAATAGATATACTGTTCCCTTCTTTTCGTCAATTGATCAGTTCAAGTGCATGCTAATTTTCTGTACAGTTTTTCGTTTACGTCACGGGCTAAGAATATTTTTTTATTGCAGGATGTATGAAAAGAGAGAAATAATTCTGATATCGACATGTCTAAAAAACTGCTAATTTTGAAATATCTGCAGAAAGTAGCAAAATTGAAATTATAGTATTTATAAGAACAATGGTCACAATTTAAAACACGGCTGTTTTAACCATTTTTTAATAATAAGCGGTACACGTAACCAATATTTTATTATAAATCCCCAAAACCCAAAGATCATAAGCTAAATTGTAAAAGAAAACTAATTTTTTCATTGCCAAATTGTTGATTAATTAAAATTTACAAACCACTTTCCTGAAAAATTTGCTGTCACTCGTCTAGCAAACAGAATGTTACATAATTTCAATCACGACCCCGATAAGACCTAAAAAATCTAGACTTACAAACACCGAGAACAAAGTATACCACTGTCCGGCAAATCGCTTAAAACAGGTCCGACAGTGGAAACAGAATATTGTCCGATGTACATAAACTATCATATCTAAACAGAACCGCATCGTGTACAATTTATTCGATTTATCTCCGTTCACCCAGTTTTTCAACAAAACTTTCCACTTCGCCACTCCTCGCCATTTTACCCCATTACACACCACACTCTCCCCGCTCTACGTTCGAGCACACAACTCTCTTCCTCTCTCCTTTTATATATATATGTACCTTGAAACCTTCCGTCGTTTCTTTTAATCTCTCACCGCCTATCTCGCCCGGCGAGGAGGAGGCGCGTTTCAACCGCTAAATGAAAACTCCCCGTGACATTTACATTAATCCAGCTCGGTGTCCCCCCGTGCGTTCAGTGTCAATTAACGCGCGCATATTTCATACGAACACGTCCTCACTGGGTCCGGCGTGTGTCTCGACCAACCTTATTTCTGTTAATTAAGGGCCCGCAGCAGCAGCGGCCACTTCTAGTTTATACGCCGTCTCATTTGCGTCTTGTCGCGGCATACTAAACGAACGATTTAGTAATAGGAGACAAAGAGATGACGTGGGTGGTTTCAGATGCGACTCGCGTATCTGTAGATAGAGATGTGCGTGTGTGTGGAAAGAGATGCACGGTTGAAATTTGTGTTGTTGCAGCTTCACACACACACACGTGCTCCCGCGTATCTCGTTCAGAGAAGAGGGCCACCACACCACACCGTTCTCAACATGCTGCACCACCGATAAAAACACGATAACAGAGGAGAAATACAAATAGGACGATACAAGAACGGCTACTGTTACCATTCGACGCTCGCGATAGCGTTTAATTGTTTATGGCTGAAACGGTTATCCGCGAAAAAGCCGCGCGAACACTGCGCGCACTGGGGGATTTAACGTTATCATTTGGATGGGTGAATAGACGATGGAGGAATTATTTGATGCGTGAATGAAGTAATTTTGTGAGCGAAGGAAGTGCGACTGCCTTTTTTGCCGTAATTTCCGTGAAAAAAGTTTGCTTTCCGGAAGATTTAATCGTCATACATGGAAATTGGAAGGCATTTTATTTATTTATCAGTAACTTACTTATGTCTTTTCATCTTTTACAATTTTTGCCGATTTTTCAATTTTTATGGTACTTTTCGGTGATATTTGTCGTTATTTTATTAAGAGATAAATTTACCACTTTCATTATCGGATATGTTAACATTCCACTGATAAGGTAATATTTGAAAGTGGAATTAAACTGATACATTGTTCTCTTTTACATAAAAATCAATATTTTGGTAATGTCAAAAGACTCTTTAGGCCAAAAATGCCAATTTTTCTGTCGCCACTTTGCAACATTTCCGGTTATTTTATTAACAGACACAACAAAAGTGAAATTTTACACGTGAACTAATAAGGGAAGTACTTTTAGTGCTCTTCGGCTTACTCTCATGATAAAAAAGTTTGCTGCGGGAAACATTAATCGCGATACTTGAAAATTAGAAAACATGCTATTTATAAATATAAATTTCATCTTCCTTTATTCTCTTCACAAGCCTAATCAGGCCGAAAAACGCCTCTTCGCTGCAGCTCTACAAAATCACTGCAAAATGCGAATTATTTTCAATACACGAGAAAAGTTTCATGGCCAATGACTATTTATATTTAGTACACTTGGTAATGAAAGGCGGGCGCAACAACACAGGCGCGGAGTGATATACAGCGATTTCACTGAATCGGAAGTTTCACGACGGAGGCGAGGCAGATAAATTCGCTTCAAACGAGAGCGACGCTGTTTAATGAAACCATTGTCACGAAGAGGCGTGTGCCGCTTTTACACGCGATAGGTAAATCGTTCATGGTTACAATCGAAATCGGGACGCCCGACGACGAGAAGTCGAGGGGAACGAGAGAAGCAGCATCGATGCTCCGAGAGACGTCGCTTTCACGCCATAAACCAACCTCTGATGTCCAAGGAAATTTTCTTTTCGAAACACAGCGAAGCAGTAATGAAATCCTCGTAACCGTCTTCCGAATTGACGAGACAAGGCTCTTATTTATCTCTCCTTTGAGGAATGAATTATGTTCATGAGGCTTCGTGCGAAGAGTAAAATTGTGTACACAAAGTATCGGTGGAAAGTAGAATGAGGATAATAAGAAACTCTCTAACCGACAAATTCTTCTTGTGTGCAATCGTAATATTAATTAACGGGAGAAAATACATTTTTTCAAGTGTTTTTGTAGGTATGTAAAATTGAATTGCAACCTATGTGTGTTATATGGAGCATTAAAATGTTCGTGATAGTAGTTGTAAAATGATCATAACCACGATGTGTGTACGTATGTAGTAATTTGAGTAATGATGGTTAATAATTGTATACAGTTACTTCGAAAAATATTCTGACACTGAGCAAACAACCATTGAACACAGCACAGGTAATGAATATTCGAAATGTGTAAATATTATTTGGACACTTAGCTGAAATTAATATACCGAATATTTATGGTATAATATTTGTATTATTCGTATTTCAAATATTTTGAATATTAACGTTTTATATAATATCTTACGAATAATATAAATATTAAACTATGAGCCCTCAAAATATTTATTTTTGTTAAGTGTCCAAATATTTTTGGGGATTAATGTACCTGGACAAATTCGCGATACCTAATGAGTATCGTTAAATGACTCACGACAAAGGATGTATGGACACTAATCACATTTTATCTAGCAAACACGCTTGTGCTCGTTTACCACGATTTACACAGAGGCAATTTCTCTACGGAAAGCAAAAGCGGAAAAAAACGTGACATTGCTAAACGTAGATATATTTTTTATATCCCCCCATACTACATTAGCAAACATTTCGTGCTAATAGTTCCAGCAACGCGCTTTTCAGACCGCGAAAGGTTAAAGACCTCGCGTTAATATCCAACAATGAGGCGCAATAAACTTCTTTATATTCCATGAAAACACCAGATCATAAATTAAACACACGAATTGAGAAACCTCGTGAACATTAAAACCTCGTGTAGAGATAAGTGTATCTAATTGTAAACACTCCTTTTCTTTCTACGTAATATAGTAATATCTCTCACACTGTCACCCTGGTCGGGAACTGAAAGGCGTCAGTTTGGGTACAGGAGACACGGTTTTCTTGGAGGGTCCTTTGTAGTTTGCCGAACGAAGACAGGGACAACGAATGAAAGATTTAAACGCCAGCGTGTTTATTTATAACTTTTTCTGTATGAAAAAGCGGCAGTGTGAGAGATATATTAACTGTATACGTATACTGTATATTATGTTATTTATTATTATTTACATTATATTAGACCCCCCCTCGTATACATATAAATTTCTTTTTCCAACGTTGGCGGTCACCCATCCTTAACCTTAGTCGCGAGGAATGCAGCTTGACTTGGAAAGCTAACGACGAGTCACCCTACCCGCTCCCCAGTTCTCCCATGATAGAAAAAGCTGCATTCTTATATTATTTAAAGTTAGAATAATTATAGTAAATTTACCACAGCCGTTGGACATAAAATAGTCACTTCTAATTCACACGGCGTTATAGAGGGTTCAAATTAAAATCTACAATTGTGTATTTCAATTTAACGAAATTGTGTAACACGACGTTGATGCACCTTTAAAACCACATCGTTATTTTCCATATTTCGTTAAAAACAATTTACAAACTTTTACTCATTTCAATTGAACGAAATTTTATAACTGGCGTATCATCGATGCACCACTTTCCAATGAAACTTTCACAAGACTCGTCGCACAATCTGCAAAATTTTGGTAAGAAAAAGAGATTTGCAAAATTTTACATATTCCACTGGAAACTTCAACCAAATGAGATTTTCACAAGAAGGCGAGATTCGTTATTTCGAACATTTTCATAGAACGTTTCTACCCAGGTACCCAGAACTCGTCGCTTTCGACCGGTGAATGGCGAAGGATGTTCGAAGTTTCAATAGGATACTCTCCACGGTGGCTGAACGAGCTTTCCACGCGGCGTTTCGCTAAACGAACTTAGGCGCGCCCGGAAGTAACGGGGCAGTGCCATTAGTTCGATGTACCTGCGCTTCATTATCAATGTCGAATCGTACGGCAACCTTGTACGCCATTGCAGCGCACGGGTCAACGCACGTTTCAAGAGGATACGTATTTACCCGCGGAAAGTACGCCCCGGCCACAGTTGTCCGCGTTTCTTTGAAAGCTGCGCGGCTACGGAACTGGA